ATCCAGTTCTCACATGGGTCAGTGCATTTTATCCCTTAACACAATATCATATCAAGCAAAGACATTAATGTTGGAGTCTTACCACCAATGATAGATAAATACATGTTAGATTCTTGATAAAAATGAATAAAAACTTAGTGTCCACACAAGGAACAGAGTGAATTTAAATAAATAAGCGTGTTTGATTCTAAACGGCTAAGTAGAATGACGCAACATTAAAATTTATTAAACGAACTTCTATAATGTTTTAATGAAAATATTTAAAAAATAATAATAAAAAAGAATTCCTCTGTGCTATGAGAATAGTTTAGGTTGAGTATCACTTTCAAATACCTGTATTCTTGTCTAGCCTATGTAGCAGTTACAGAACATTGGTTTAATTATTACTTCTATACTGTTAAGGAATGATATTTAAGGGATTAACTGATAATTTATGGCAAAAGCATTTGGTTTGCTGGGAGAAACACAGAGTTTCAAACACTAGTGACATCAACATTTAGATTAGTTGAACCAAACTAGTATAATTATGAATTATTATTTGGGTTTCATTTAATAATAAGAGAATTAATTAAATACTTAGAGAGGGTGTTTGGAGGACATTTTTTAGGTCAAAAAATTCATTTTTCTACTGTTAGCATGATTTGCAGCCCTTTTTTTACCAGTACACTCTTATGTGGGGCTCAGGTGGCCAAAAAATGTCCTCGAAACATGGGCTTAAGCATGCATACTCATAAAGCTAGTTTCATTTTGGTTACAAATGGCTATCATTGAGCCATTGAGAGTTTTTTTTTTTTTTTTATTTTAATTTTTAAGAGCCTGTTTGGGAGTGATTTTGAGAATTGATTTTTTGACCTTAAAAAGAAAAGTGGGGTCCACCTATGAGAAAAGAAGTCAAATATGATGGTTGAAATATTGAAATAACGGTCAAAAAATTAATTTTTTGGAGCAAAAAATTGCTCCCAAACAAGCTGGTAGTCTTTCTTTGCGTGTCGAAAAAGGCTAAAATTATATCAGTTATATTATTTTTGATATATTATAGCAACACATTGACTTGGCATAAGAAGGAAAAAATTTTATAACTTACGTCTATTATTTAGTTATGTAAAATTTTATTTGATCTGATTCGTTGACGTGTTGTGTAACTTTATACTCATTTCCATGAAATGTCTGAATATAACTGAAGAATTTCAATTGATATGCAAACAATATTAGTTCAATGACTTAAACTGTATTATTTAATGAATATAATAAATAATTCCTCTGAAGGAAAATAAAAATAAAAATACTATTTTGGGCTTGACTTAAGGCGAGTGTATGCACCTCTAAAATTGGAAATTTTTAATTGTATCTATCACTTTAATATGTTATATTATTTCCTCTTTTAAGAGGTCCTTTTTGGTACAACAACGGAAATTTGGGCACACGTAATTGTTGAGTTAATAACCTAAATGGTCTCTAAACTTTGCAAAAAAAATTTATCGGGTCACTGAACTTTGCAAAAGATTTCCATGAGGTCAACGAACTTTAAAAATTATCTCATTCATCATTGAACTCGAAGACCCCTTCGGAAAGTTTTTGCAAAGTTCAGTAACCCTGTGGAAATCTTTTGACAAGTTTATTAATGAATGAAGTGGTTTCTGAAATTCAGTGATCTAGTGTAAACTTTTTGCAAAGTTTAGTGATAACTTTGATTATTTTTAAAGTTCAGTGATCCGATGAAAACTTTTTGCAAAGTTCAGTGACCATTTGGATTCTTAACCCCGCACTTGTTTTTGAATTTACAATAATAGTTTATCAATAGGTCATTGATTATAATCAAGAATTTAATTGATTCTTATCTCTGAGAGTTCGGGAAGTAGAATTGCTCATAAGAAAAATGCATACAAGTTACGTTTTCCTTCTTGATGCAAAGTACATTTTCTTTTATTTATTTTAAAACAATAGTTAACATTAAACTCAACTTTAACGACAAATGATGTATAACATTTCCAAAATGAGAAAAAAAATAATCAAATTAAACTTGGGAAATAAATAGAAAGGATCCTCTTTCCGTCCATGAATAAAAGCATACTTGTAATTGTTGAAGTATAATAAGCAATGTAGATTGTGAATGATGAAAAGTTCAATCCTTTGGATTGATCATAGGCTTTATGTTACGAAGTAAAATGCAAAGAGAATGTAGTTTTAGCGCTACTACAAAGCTTATGTAAGCAATTATTACATGAATTCCTATTGTTTAGAAGATGTATCGGCCCTCTTTTAACTTTAATATTCTCAAAATAATTTTGAACTTCAAAGGGGAGAACACCTAACTAATCAAGAATATAATTCGATCGACAGAGTAATCACATTGACACTAACTAAAGATAAAAGAGACCATCCCATATTGATACCTCAAGTTAGGCAATGCATGAAATATGCAATAATTTTCCATTTAAAATCAACTTTTGAAGATTTTGAAGTCTTAAAGCAAAATCACATCCCATAGTTTCCATTGCCCAATGCTGGCACTAAATAGCCAACCACATCACGCCACGTGTGCATGCTCCTTTCCATGTTACATGTCCTAACAAAAGAAACAGGGCCCACTTTGCCAGCACAACGTAATATTAAATTATTTGTCAACCCTTGGGTTAATTAACCTAACCATAGTTTAAATTTTTTGTTATATTTGATCAATCGGAATGTGCCACGTTGATTTTTAAAGATTTGTGATTCTATCAGTTTCAATTTCTGAGATAATAACTTAAATCGTCGCTGAAATTTGTAAAAAGTTTTCAGTGAATCACTAACTATAAAAATCATTCAAGTAATCATTAAGCTTTATAAAAGATTTTCACGAGGTCAATGAACTTTAAAATCACTTCATTTATCACTAAACTTTGCAAAAAAATTTCTAGGGATCACTAACTCAGTGATCTCCTAGAAAACTTTTTTCAAAATTTAGTGATTCCGTGAAAACTTTTGCAAAATTTTGTGATGAATAGAATGATTTTTAAAGTTCAGTAATCTCGTGGAAACATTCTGCAAAGTTCAGTAATGACTTGAATGATTTTTAAAATTTAGTGACCCCTTAAAAACTTTTCGCTAAGTTCAATGACCATTTGTATTATTATCTTGTCATTTTGTTCATATGCCAAGTTTTTTGGGTGGCAGATTCGCACGTTGACTACATAACTTAACCTGAAAAATAATTAATAAAAGATTATATTTCAAGTTGCTTAATATGAGTACATTATATGATACGCGTCCCAACCATAATTATCAAAGTATGGAAAGGAGAATTGTTAAGAGTGCAATTTTTTCTAGAAGGATCGATTGCATAGAAAATGGAAAATGAACAGTTTTAGGTATTTTTAAAACTTGAAATCATTGCAGCATTCCGATGTCGAATGAGATTTTCATGGAATTGAGAGTTAACCGGTGGACAATAGTTAGATGTTGATATAAGAAACATCCATAAAAAAATGATTACAACAATCTTATCTCGTAATATCACAAGAATTTCTTGTCAATTTTTAATAATTCAACCTACTCGACTATTCTGTCTCAATGATACCAATCACTGAGCTCACCCAACTTGACCAAAATGTCTAATGTTTGAGTATAAATTTGACCAGCTAGATAAATCGGTCGAGTTAACCAGATTCAACACGTATCAACGGAGGAAAACTAATATGTTTTAGTATTAAAATGTAGGAAAACATTTATCACTTCAAAAACGAAGTATACTTTTTACTATTCCTAAAAGGGTATGCTTTAAAGAAAAGCAAGCATGCTAGATAAAATAAGTTATTCAAAAGTAACTTTAGATGATTCAAATTGGAATTTTATTTATAAATGATTTAATTTTATCCATAGAAAAAGTGAGTGAAGGATAAATAAATAATACTCTTACAGTAAAAAAATTATTTGACCAATTATAAACCATTTATAAACATTAGCCAACCATGGACTAATCTTGAAAGTTACTTTTTTAAAGAAAAAGAAAGTAATTTAAAGATAAAAATCAATCAGTTTTTCGAAATTGGAACAAAAAAAATATTAATTTGGTAAACAAACCTTCTTCAATGTTTAACGTCATAGACTATAGAGGTATTCGAGCCTTGACATTTTGACTCCTGTTGAATGGTCATGTTTCAGAGTTCAAATGCATTTAGAGTCCCGATATGTGACATTCAATTCACGAACTAAAAACTTACCTCGACACCAAACTTCTTAATTTAACTTGATCGTTGAGGCACGATTGCCATTTGATCGACAAAATCTCATCACCTTTGCTTTAATATTGCTAAAGTCTTGTTATATTGTTATCTGTGGATAAGTGTTAAAAGAGGGCTGCTTTTGTGATGTGGTACGCGTATTGCCCCCAACAGATCGAATTACAAGTGCCCATAATTTTTTTTTATATCCTAATTATTGACAAATTCCTGCCAATTTACATGCATTATGTAACGGTTTTCAGATTAAATGGATTTGGTCGAATATAAAAGAAAAATAGATTTTTTCAACAACAATAAAAAGTGGCCAAGAACAACTCCCTAGATATCACGTCCTTAAATATTTGGTACATGCTACTCGATCATACTGTATGATATATAGACAAAATTTCAATAATGATAATATCTCGACTATTTATCAATTTATTCAACAAGTAGACAATATTAAAGAAGATTTTATTTTTGGATAAGTATTAAAGAAGATTTTATTTTGTTCATGTTCTTTGTTTTTGTCTAGTAATCACTCAAGTGATTCACTCCATGTCTAAAGTTATATCATGAATTGAGCTTTTAGGGTTCGAGATGTTCTAACTTGAATAGATGATTATATCATGTGTGCATATAAAATTGTTACAATGAATTATTTCTCGAATGCAGTATAACAATTGGGCCGCATTTATTCAAAAAAACCTCCCACGTTTCTTACACATCACGTTTCTTTCAACACAAATACACCAAGTATTTATATCCTTATTCTGTATTTTTTTTTAAAAACTTTCTCTCAGCTTTAAGGTTAGTTCCCGTGGCTTGTATCTCTTTTTTCTCCATATTTCCCATTTCCTTCATTCTTTCCCATAGCTTTTTCTTCTAGATCAGAATCAACCCACTTATAAGTGGATTATTTTCTGGATTTGGGATTCTTTTTTTTTTCTTTTTCTTTTTTATATAGTGGTCTTTAGAAAGTAGGAATTGTTTGGCTAGAATCCACTGAACTATAAAGGGTTTTAGGAGCCAGAAAAAGTTGAAGCTTATATATAGAAAACGAAGATTTCTGAATCAGAAATTTGTTAAGAATCGAATACTTCTGAAATGGAGAACAATCTCGGAGTTGTCAAAGACGCTGATCAATTGGATATGCCAGCTGGATTTCGATTTCATCCTACAGACGAAGAATTAATTACTCATTATTTATCGAACAAAGCTGTTGATAGTAATTTCTCTGCTATAGCTATTGGAGAGGTGGATATGAACAAAATTGAGCCATGGGAATTGCCATGTAATTTTTTAAAACTTGATCTTGGACCTTCATCTGTTCTAATATTATTTTTCTCTATTTATTATTATTGTGTTTCTTGATTTTGTTTGTTGAATGAAGGGAAAGCGAAAATCGGAGAAAAAGAATGGTACTTTTTCTGTATGAGGGACAAGAAATATCCGACTGGTTTGAGGACAAACCGAGCTACTTCTGCAGGATACTGGAAAGCCACGGGAAAGGATAGAGAAATTTTCCGAGGAAAAACTCTAGTTGGGATGAAGAAAACATTGGTTTTTTACAAGGGAAGAGCCCCCAAAGGTGAAAAATCAAATTGGGTTGCCCATGAATACAGATTGGAAGGAAAATACTCTGTTCATAACCTGCCAAAATCAACTAAGGTTATTCCCGTTTTTTGGACTTGAATTATTTATATTTTTGTTGTGAAAATGAATTGACTTTGATTTCTTTCTGTTTTTGGCCAGAATGATTGGGTTATTTGTAGGGTATTTCACAAGACAACCGGTGGAAATAAAGTACACATTTCTGGCCTAATGAGAACGAATTCTGTTGAAAACGAGTTTTCGCCCTCAACATTGCCACCACTAATGGATTCTTCGACGTATAATTGTACAATGAATCCCGAAGAAGTAAAATCCAGTCACGTGCACTGCTTCTCCAATTCGAGACAAGAAGAACAGCTGAATTCTTTCCGCAACTCCATTTTCCATTCGACTTCAAATCCCCTCGAAACTTTTCCTCCTACTTCACTTCCTAACGAATTTCTGTGGAAACAATTTTCTCCAATCCAATTCGCAGATTCATTTCCATTGCAAGATTCCTCATTTCTTCGAACAGTTCTGGGAAATTCTGGTCCAAACATGAATCAAATCTTCTCAAAAGACAAGGAAATGGTGCCTATCTCCGAAGCAACTGCTTTAAGCACTGATGCGAACACTGAAAACTCCTCTATAGGACCTGAGTACCTGAATCCCTTTTGGAGTTAGCGAAATTTCTTGAAGCAGAAAAAAAAAATGAAAAAGGAAATTATTAGAGCTTAATGTACTATTAACTGTAATCTGAAAATGAATGTGTGTGTATAAAATTTCTAAGTTTTTTACTTATGTAAGTGAATTGAAGATCATTATGTAATAAAATGTATTAAAGTGAACTTAATTTTGTTGTATTTCTTTCAGTTTTTGTTTAATTTACCTCTGATTTTTTAATCACATTTAGTGAGATTGATTATGCTGCTGATATCACTGAAGATATGAGTTTGATTATTAACGTTTTTTATTCTTATTTTAAATATTTTTGCTATTTCATTAATATGTTGTAGGGACCAGTATGTTGTAGGGACCAGAAGTAGGGTGGGGACCAAAATTAGGGTCGATTACGTGTTTATCAATATCGGGATCAATAATTAGAATGCTTTATGATTGTCTGATTTGATTTTGAGTAATACGATATCAATTTAGGTGATGGTAACAGAGCATTAAGTGGAATGTATAATTAAATTAATTATTTAATTCTGCCTTTCATTGAGCTTATTACTTAATGCAACTTAAATTAGTTTTGTAGCACAATTGATGTTAGATAGACCTATTCTTTGATTTTATAATAGAAGGATCCGTCCAAAATTGGGAATGATCAGGTGAACGATTTTGAATTATGCTACTTGTACATAAAAATGGTACATAAAGGATGACATAAAACGGTGTGAAGAGAAAAGATTAGATAAAAATGTTGTTAGTATTTTAAACTGACAAATGATATAGTAACATGTGACATTATGTAAAACTTGATGTATATATAACAATGTCTAATGATTTTTTCTTGTTTGGATAAATTGTCAATTGCATTGTAGCCTAATGCGACCCCTAATAGAAAAGAGAATGGAGAATG